AGAGCCAGAGTCTTGAACCTAATAAGGAGCTGCGGAAGAGGAGGTTCTCCTTAAATGAGGAAGCTTTTTAGAAGTCAACTGGGTGGCCCTGAAGGCTCTGGAGAAGAGTCTGGCCTCCCAGCAGCCAGCTCAGAAGAAGGAGCCCATGATGCAGGCTGAGCAGCAGTTGTAGAGCCACGTCATCCAGCAGCAGGAGGACAAGAGGCTCTGAAGCAAAAGTTGCAAACGTGGGTGACAGCATGATCTTCATGATCATCAAATCTGTGCGATCTGGAGACCAGAGATGAGACAGATGTTGGAGAAAAGGCCAGGAAGTCTCCTGTCATGCATGGAAAGAGTCTTTAAACTCCTGGCCCCGCCACTGATGGAGAAGGGGAGGAGAAAGGAGGGGAGGGCTTCATCAGTTCTGTAAGTGAAGAAAACAAACGCACAACTGTGGTACACTGACATGCACAGACGCAGGCCCACACACACACACACACAGACACGTGCGCGCCTTAATGGTCCAGTTTGTAGTGTTCAGTGGCCTCTAGTGGTGAAGTTGCAGATTGCAACCATTTGAATACAGCTCAGCTTTCCAAGTGTGTAGGAGAAATTACGGTGGCAGCGAAACTCACAGAAAACACAAAAGGCCAAATATACAGCCAGTGTTGGGTTTGTCCATTCTGGGCTACTGTAGAAACATGGTGGTTCAACATGGCGGGCTCTGTAGAAGACGACCTGCTCCCTCTGTAGATAAGAACAGAAACACAACTTTTTTTATTTTAAGGTGAATTATACACTAATAAATACCTATGGATATTATATTCCATTTCTGACAATAGACCCTCATAAATATGACACACTGGACCTTTAAGAACAATTTTCAGATAAATGTTGCAGCTCGGTCAGGTTACCAACCCACAATGTTTCTGGCCCGTAATCAGCAGCGTTCCAGTTGAACACTTATAGTGAAACATTTACCACAACTTGAATGGATTACCAGGTAATATAATAACAGCTATTCATGATCTCCTCATGTTAACATGCTAACTCTGGCATGCTAAAATACTACATGCTGTGAATGTCTTGTAAACATGCTAACTTTATTGTTAGGATGCTGGTTGTAATGTTAGCATTGACATCAGCAGTTGAGCTCAGAGCACTGAGATACCACTTAGTAAAAATACATAAAGTGTCTCCTGTGACTTTTATTCAGTTATATATACATCATTATGTTATTATGACTCATGCAATCAGGGAAAAGCTGTATTTATTGTTGTAAGAGCTAATTTCATATAGGACTGCAATTAATTATCATTTTCTCTATGGATTCATCTGCAGATTATTTTCTACATGAACGGGTGGATTTTTTTAAAATTCTGAAATGAATACACACCCCAAATCTCAAGATTATAAAAAATAAACATTATCAAAACAATTAAAAGGAAAAGCAGCAAATCTTCACATTTGAGAAGCTGAAACCATGAAATGTTTTTAAATGAAGTGAAACGACTTAAACAATTAAAGTTGCCATTAGGTTTCAGTGAGTGGACTAATTAATGAATGATTAATTATTATATATTATATATATTATATAATTATTATTACCAATCGTTGCACCTGCTTGTATTAACTGTTGGGTAGTTTTATTTATAACAAAACCTTCTTTATTTGTTTTACATGCAACACTTAACTAACTAGCAAGTAAAGTTGTCAGAACAGAGGTAAAAAGTAAGTAAAAAGTGCAATATTTCCCTCTGAAATGTTGTTGAGTGGAAGGATAAAGGAAAGGAAAGTACAGTGCTACAGTAAATGTACTCGACTGCTTGTTGTTGATGTAATGAGCATTACAGCCTCACAGGGCTGCTAGCAGCTTTAAACTGTGACTCTGAAAGAACAACACAGTGGCAGAATCAGATCAGTTTATTCTCATTCCTAACTTCAATCTGTTTACACAGTTACTGAGTAGTGAACTGTTCTGCACATACGTTGTTATGACACATTTTATTCAGTGATACAGTGAACAAAACGGGTTCCTCTACGGTGGCCCAATGTGCAAAACAGCAATAGCAAACTAATCATTAAATAATTATTAATTACAGCTCAGACTGGATCATTAAATGTTGCTGATGTTGCTCCGAGGCAATTGTTGTTGTTTTATGTTGGCGCGTATAGTTCAAGGAAGAAAAATCTGGTCCTGCATCACCTTCCTCCATGTGGTTGCCACAGTTACCAAAGGTTCAACCATCATCAACTCAGGGACCAGAGTGCCCTTTATTAACTGTCAGGTGTTTTCTGGGAATTTGATAAATTGCAATATTTGTGTGTGAATACACACCACTAAAGTCCTGAAGGGCCCTGTGTCCTCTTTCTGAATACAAATGTCTTTATCTATATTGCCGGGGATGAAGGGGTCCCACCGGTCACTTTTATTCTTTGGCCCTCTCGTGGGTTAAACCGGCCGTGGCTCTAAATAATGTGTTTACATGGGAAAAGTATACTGTGAGCGTAAATCACCGGCTCAGTTGTCAGTTTACACTCACCTTAAAGCCTGTTGAAACATCAAAGTGCTCATCATTCAAATAGATAAATCAGAGCTCGATCTGGATCAGTAGCACTACAATGCATATGATATATACATATGTGTATTAAATTAAATAGGATATAGCAGGTGGCTGAGGTCCCATTTTACTGTCACTGCAATATTTGCTTTTAGTGATTTATCTGTGCTCTCTCAGAGTTCTGTTCATGTTAAATGGGCCAGTATGTGTGTGTGAATGCCTCATATTATTGTCCTGCTACAGAAATGATCTCTCTGTGATGGTGCCAGCCACTAGATGGCGCTGTACTCCACCATATTGAATGTTCAGCACTCCTCGAAAACCTTGTCATGGAAAATCCAGCTGCTGCAGGGCCACTCTGTGTGACTTCTCATCGTGGAGGGTTGAATTCAGGAAGTTAGAAAGGACTTTGTTGTCCAGTTAAAGATACTTTTCTTTTTGTTATGTGACTGCTTTACTCTCCCTGTGACCTGTCCCATATAATATTTGTTGAACCCCAAAGGGTTTGAAACACCAGAGGGAGGCCACTTTAGTAAGACCAACAGGATTCAGTCAGCCGCTGTGTTATTCTGACACTGATTCTGGATCTGAAACCAGATTAAAAGCAGATTATATTCAGCTAAATGATGTTGTATGAAGGTTTCCTGTATACTGTAATCTTTCCTTATTTTCTGCATCAAAGCGTAGGATTGATTGATGAATTGATCCACATGTGAACTTTGAATTCATGTGGCTTTTTGGCCATTTCAAATGTGGAGAAACATGAATTTCACATGTGATTTTCATTTATAAATACCTTTACCTTCATGTCTAAAGCAGGTTTTGTTCGATCTTCCTACGCTGTTACTTTATGAAAAAAGTAATTTAGAAAGTACTGAGCCCCAGAGAAAAAGTCTGAAAACCACAGTGCACTATAACAAACTCTGACAAATAAACACTGAGGTAACAGATATTAAACATCCTGGCAAAAACATTTTCTCAGACGTTGCATTTAGTGACTCCACAGAGCATTTTAAGAAACTGTGATTATGTCAGTGACCTAATAAGGAGCTGCCAAATCCTATCTGCATACGTGTGACGGTCATGAGGGATGCTGCATTTGATTCATGACAAACAGCCGTGTAGACAGAGTAGCAGCACAAGTGCAGCCGCCCAAGTCTGCTTTCTGTTTGTGTGGCGAGGCAGCTCTTTTCAGTCTGATCTGTTTACCGCACTCTAAAAATACCACTTTGTTGCATTTCCATAGACTCTGGCCCTGTCGTTTCATTTGTTTATATGGCGTCTTCAGATGTTGGCAACCCTGGATGTCCACATGGAAAGGAGCAGCAGCCTCAGGATTCAAAAGGCTTTCAGCTGCGTTAGACAGGCTGGAGGTGGCTGTGAAACATGCAAAATGTGGAAATGTTCAAGCTAAGAATGATCAGATTTTCTAAGAAGTGGCCCCTTCATTACAAAATCATTGTAACCTTCTGAGGACGTTCATCTTTTGATCCTCACACCTCATATCTTCAGCCTGCAACAGCTTTAATAATCAGCATGTGTGGTTCTTTCTATATTGCGTTAAAGTAATCCTGTTTCTTAGCTATCAGCAGTGGTGGAACGTACATTTACTCAAGCACTCTACCTAAGTCAGTTTTGAGGTACATGTACTTTACTTAAGTTTAAAAGTATATTTTATGCTTCTTTATAACTCAACTCCACTGTGTTTATTTGGCAGCTGTAGCTACTTTTAATATGATTTTACCTACAAAACAAAGTGTTAATATATGATTCCTTGATTTAGCTTAAACTAACAGGATATACATTAACTCCACTTTGACATTATACAGCATTCAAATTCTGTTTACATGTTAATCAGTAATGATAATCAAATCATATCAAATATATAATAACAGGAGCCATTCCGCTGTATAACAAGTACATTTACTTTTGACCCTTTAAGTACAATTTGCTGGCAAGAATTCTCTACTTTTACTAAGGAAATGTTTAAAAATGATGGAATTTTAATTACTGAACTAGAATGTAAATAGTTCTTCCACCACTGCAACACCCCCATTACAACTGCAGCTGCACAACAAAACGGAAACACTTGAAATAATAACATTTTCACATTTAAATCACTCTGAAAATAAAGATTATTAACTGAATGATTAAAGGTTTCTATAAATGAAAAATAAGATTAAAGAGAGATCATTTTTGAGGTGGCTATATGTTGCACATTAGGTTGTCATAATGTAGGTGTCCTGGTTATTGAACGTCATTAATTTTGACCATCAGCAGTGAAAGCCATACTCAGATTCTTTACTTAAAAGTAGAAATAGCAATACTACAATATAAAACTGCTCCGTAATAAGTAAAAGTCCTGCATTCAATCCCTTAATTTAGTACAAAAGTATTAACAGCAAAATATAAATAGCATCAAAAGTAAAAGTACTCATTATGCAGTAGAATCTCTCCTGTCTGTTGTATTAGTTTATTATAATTACGGATGTGTTAACATGTAAGCTGAATTTTAAAGCTGTAGCTGTTTGCAAAGGGAGATCATTTCAACGATTCTGTAGTTGAATCCATAATCAATCTTAAAATATTCTAAACTGATTACAGGTTTTTCATGTTGAATCTTAATCTGCAAATAAACTCCAGCTGCCAACTATAGGAGTATAAAGTATAAAGTAGCAGAAAATGCAAAAACTCAATTAAAGTGCCTCAAATATGGTTAATGTTACTTTCCATCCCTGCTGACCATTCTGGAAACGTGTAACCGGCCAGAAAGCCATATTTAAAATGTAATATGAAATGTTTCTGCTGTATGCAAATTCCCTCTGATGCAAATGAATGAAGTTTTTTTACATTGAATGTGCATGGAAAGACAGAAGTCTTTAGGGATGTAGCCTAAAATATATATCAGCTTTATTGAAACCTTTTACAAGACACAAAGTTGGCAAAGGGTTATACAATAAGTGCAAGGTTTGTTGCAGTTCATGTTAGCCTAAAGCGTCACGTGTGTAGTTACTCTAATAGGATAGAACATAGTTACATAGAATATAGTTTGTTTGCACGGTTTACAGGAGCAAACACATTAAAAGTCGTGTTTCTGAAACTTCTTTTGAAGAAGAAAACGCTTGTCAGGGTTCATATAGGCGAAGTGGTTTTTCTAAAGGCCTCTGGGGGGGGGTTTCTTCATTCATTTCCTTCAATGCATAGTTTTCTCAAGTCCCAACCAAAAAAGCTACTTTGGCTGCAGGTAGGAGGCAAACATGTGAGTACGGACGCCACGATACATCCTGGTATGAATCCTCCAAAAATAAAAAAAATAAGAGAGTTAAAAAAATGTCCTCTTTGTTTGCTGTCATGTGACGGAGCTGCAGTTTGACTGGCCGTCGCTGCCACTCTGGTTTGGAGTCCGCAGTGACAGCAGAGCTCACATCACGCACGGTTTGATGTCCTGACACACGCTCTGGGGGTGGTGGTGGTGGTGATGGTGATAGTAGGATCCGCCAGCCGAGGGGTGGAAGGAGGAGATGCCGTTAAAGTTTAACACGAAATCTTTCCTGTCGCACACCGAGGAGTGGCTCTGATAGCGTGGAATCCCCACTGCGGAGGGGACAGAGAGCACAATATATTCAGTGTACATCCATATTCAGTATGCGTTATCAATAGCCTTATATTTTTTTTTATTTGGGGGGTTTTTCGATTAGTATGCACAATAAAACAGTTTGGCAGGTAAATGTACTTTGTTTAGACCTGATATTAATGTTTTACATGTCAAGTATTTTCAAAATAAAATATAAAATAGCCTAAGATGTTTCGTAAAGCGCAAACTTTGTATTTCACTTTGGTTCTGGTGTAAAATGTGGATTGGTGGATGTAAAATATGAGGCAATCATTTTTAAAACTGCAACAAATGTCGCCCTGAAGCTGCCATAATGGCTTTAAAATGAAAACCTGACTACTGAGGCCCTGATTTACTGATTATTATTTATAAAATATATAACATTCTACCTTAGACACTCACATCTTTACGGATTTACAGTTACATTAATGTGTTATTTCTTTACATAAATAGAAAAAACGTATTTTCTTAAATAATACTTTTTTAACATTTGCCTTTGGTACACTTCCCATAAGATGACAGCGCAATATTTCCCCCGTTAATTTGTATTTAAAAGGCATCGTCTTCCTTCAGCTATTCAAAAAAAAAAAAAAATCAAGTCAATTCTTTTATTTTGATTAATAACCAATAACAGTAATCTATGTGAGCAAAAATCCCCCAGACTTGCAAGAATATTTAAATCAGACTCGGTGGCCGTCATTTTGTGCCTGTAAGTGAGCCTCTATTTCCAGAAACAGAAAAATAAATGGGGAGGCTGTGGCTTCAAGGTCATAAGGACTCCAGATGTGACTGTGTTTTTCAGAGGAAGACAGCAGGCTTTATCCTCCGGGCCACAGCTCGCTGCCCGGCGCCCGTTTTCACAGACAACACATGAGCCCCTCTGACTGACAGTACAGTCCCCGACCCTGTTACAGTGCAGTCCAGCACATTTATCCTCCGCACAGCCTCAATTAGGGCGCTGCGTAAAGTTTAACAAGGCCTTTCGTCTCTTGTGGATACGCGGCGGTTGAAATCCTCCGCCGGTGTGGTCCGACCTGCACAGTCTTTGTTTGGTTAACCTCTGGGACCCTTTCGGGCTCCAGCATGGGTTACTCGCCTCGGTGAAATCCCCAGACTTTAGTAAAGCCTCAGTGTGTTGTGTTAAAGTAAATGAGCGTGAACTGGGCAGGGGGAATTAACAACGATCACAAAATAGCTGTTTTCCCTAAATCTATTTACTGAAGAAAATATCCCGTGAAGACTGGTGCAGATGTGGTTTAGAAAGTCCAGCAGGATGTGGATTACAGAGACATATCACACATTAGCAGCTCTTAGAATCAGATGTATTTATTTATTAAAATCATTTAGATTTTACTGACCCGAGCTCAGGCCAGTGGATGGCACTGGGTTGGTTTTTATTAACCAATTAACATTCAGTGCAACTTTATTATTCTATAAAATGAGTTACAACAATTGTTGAATTATTTTGACACCCACAACTGTTGATCTTAGTAAACGCTTAGACGGCGATAATGAGGGGAAAATACAGTTCAACTAATTGAAATGACTATAAATATACATGAATGTATTTTTTATTACTCGGACATATAAACTAACATTTGGTATTATTTTGCCTGTCAAATAAGCACAACCATCCTGATTTTTAAATATTAGTTATTTATGAAATATATCATTTCATAATTGAATTTGGACTCGCCACAGGCCTCTGCTGCAGATAGAAACTAAATGTTCCATATCGCAGTCTGTCGTTCAGATGAGGTTTTTTGAGGATTATTATCATGCGTTTTTATTTATTTATTTTAATAATAAACCCCCACAGATATTAGACGGGGTTCATCATTCCCAGTTTGAGCCATTGTGGTACCTGATATGTCGCTGGTGTGGCTGTCCCTGCCGTTCTGGTGAAGATAGCTCTGCTCCAGGGAGTAAGGCGACATGCCGGAGTGTAAACCAGAGGATGCGGGGCTGCTGGAGGCTAGAGGCTGCTGTTTGATGTAGGGGGACCCGCCGGAGGACGCCCAGTGTGCGGATGTACTGGCGTACGGGGAGTGGCCGTCCAGCGCGCTGGCCATGGCTGGAGAGGACGGTACCGGGCTGCTGCTGCTGTCCGGTCCGTACTCCCCGTTCGACGGCACAGGACAGCTCGCCATGTATGTGGAGCCGGGGCTCGGGGACATGTGGGGTACATGGTGTCCGCCGCTCAGCCCGTCGTACCCCCCGGCCATTGAATTGCTCATCATGTCCAAGTTGTAGCTGTTGCTGTGACAGGCAAGGGAGGCGGATGGAGCTTGAAAGTCAAAACTCTGCGGCAGAATGGAGGTGCCGAAGCCAATGCCGTTCATCATCCGATACATGGGTTTCAGAGCTTGACATTTTCTTCTGAAGCCTCTGGGTCTGCGACGAAACGAGCCCTCCTCAAACATGAACTCACTGCCCGGGTCGATGGTCCAGTAGTGGCCTTTCCCCGGCCTGCCCAGCCCTTTGGGCAGCTTGATGAAGCACTCGTTCAGCGACAGATTATGCCGGACCGAGTTCTTCCAGCCCTGATATGAGCCCCTAAAGAATGGGAAGCGAGCCTGGAGGAACTGGTAGATCTCGCTCAGTGTCAGTCGTTTGGTGGGGGAGCTCTGTATTGCCATAACGATGAGAGCGATGTAGGAGTAAGGAGGCTTTTCCGGTCGCCGTAAACCGGAGCTCGTCTTCTTTCCTTTAATGGCGGTGGACGAACTTTCTGTAGCGGCTTGTGGGCTCAGCATGGCGGGGTGCAGGACGCCGGACGCCGGGCTGGATCTCAGAGGAGGCGGAGGGTCCAGCTGCTGCTGAGGGGTCTCGGTCGTCATCTCAGCTCTGACGTACGACTGGCGTAGAGTGAAGAGAGGGAGGGAGAAAAGACCAGCCGGGAGATGTTTCAGAAGAGAAATATGTCGGATCTGGCGGTCAGTGTCCTCGCAAGTGAGCGTTACTCCGCCAGTGGTCCTCAGAATCCCAGCGCAAAATGGAGTGAAATCTGTCTCCAGTTACGCACGACTCTCCCGTTACGCACGGTGCTCCCTTGACGCATGCAGAACGCACGGCGGGTACGCACTGACACAGAGAGGAAGAGGAAGAGAGAGTGGGGGGAGCTGGTTATCCACTGGAGACTGAGTGTCCAGGACTTCAGCTCGACACAGAGGCTCCACTGGGTGTCACAGCGGCGCTAAGTGGTGCTGTGTGGCGCGCCCGGTGGCCATCGACCGCCTTAATAGTCCCTCAAGTGGAGGAAACACGAAAACCCTTCGACTTATTGCGCGCAACAGTCCAGCCAAACAAAGCCCGACCACCTATCATTTCATAAATCTTTCTTCCCTCTGCGAGACCCCCCCCACCCCACCCCACCCCCACCCATTCTCCTCATCCGCACTCCGCGCCTGCAAATCTCCCTGAAATCAGTGACGAATAGAGCCACCCCCCCCTCCACCCTCTTGCCAAATCTGGCCCAAGTCCACTTACCGTTCTCAGCAGCGTTAAAGCCCCTCATTCTCTCCTCGTCTTCTCTCTCCCCCCTCCCTCCCACCTCCTCTCTCCAAGTTCGGACTACACGCAATTAAGCAATCTATCAAACCTCCCCCAGACATCCCAATCAACAGCGCCACACGCCAGACGCACAAGTTAAAAACGAGCTTTTTCCCCCTCCTGGTCCTGCATGTATGAAGTTGTGATCTCAGCCCAATGTGCAACACATCATACATTTTCCTGACACGAATAAACCACCACAATATGTGCAAAAGGTCCAGCTTGCAATTGAAACCATGATGCCCAAAACATTCACATGGGCCTGCAGATAATACCCAAACGCATCGCTGTGGAGCAATAAAAAAACGCACCATCTTGTATTATTTGTATTATTTTGCTCATAATTTCCTCCCAAACTGGTCCAGAGGATAACAAAAACAAACTGTCGCGGTGCCGGGCTGGGGCGAGGAGTGTGAGAGATGGAGAGGTGGTGGTCTTTACCGTGCGTGTGTAAGCGGGGGGTTGCTCTGAGTAAATGACTTTGACATGAGTGGAAGCAGGCTTTTTCCATCAAGCCCGGCCCTGGATACCACACACAGCGCGCCAGTGTCAGCTTACCGCCCCGGGCCAGAGCCGGTCCCATGGGCCCCACGTTCATTAGAGAGAGAAAAGCGAAATTAGGCGAGCGGGCGTCGACAGTTTCCTCCCCTATGGAGACATCACACACAGATTTGTCCAACATGATGGAGTTATATATCCCATAAAGGTAATATCAACATCCGTGCTGCGTCGGAGCGGAGATCCTTGGGCTTTGAAGGGGGGGAAAAAGCATAAAGTTCTGTGGCTGTCGCTAAAAGCAGAGCTCTTTGGTTGTGTTGTGCATGTTTGTCACGATTTATTTTTACGTTTATTAATTTATAGTCATGCATAAATGATATTTCAGAGCAATTTTAGGTACATTTTATTTCGTCCTTTGTTTCCTACAGGCCAATTGTGCGGGTTGTAGGAGATAAAACGCCATCAGCGAAAACTCTGCAGAAAAAATATGTTAAATAAATATATTAACATTTTATTTCACACACTGTAATCTGTGTCTGTGCACGTGCGCGCCGACACAACCGTTTAAAGTTTAGATATAGCCCGGAGGATTTTTCCAAACAATAACCAGCAAACAATAACCTTTGCACTTTGCACAACAAAGGATGTGCGGATAAAATCGTTTTCCACCGTGACACACAGAGCAGTTTGGAGGATCTTAACGGCCCCAGAAATTTCCTGCGACATCAAAACTTATGACCCCCGCCGAGATCAGGATGCCTCGGCTTGCAGAGGGGATCTTTGTTCTGGGAGCGCTTTGAAGACGGCGATCCGGCTGCTTTTTACGCACTGAGATTATATGAGCTCCTAATTTAGCCTTTTGGAAATATCAAGTGGTCAGCGGCCTCCACGAAAGCTATTCAGAGGTGTTTTTGATAGAACAGTTTGTATTTGGAATACAGTCACGGCTGGAGGCCCATATGAGCCTGGGCCGACACAATAAGGCCTTCTGTTTGTTTTCATGTTTAGGCTGAAATACATCGTTTATTCCCCATAAAATTTTAGATTTTTAGAGAATGTCTGTCGGGTTGTCTGACCTCAGGTAACCTTTTTCAATCTATTTTGAAATAAAAAGCTCAGGTCTTACAATTATACTATATTTAAATGCAGTGTATTACATAAACACCTTAATAAGGCTCCTATATTTCTCACTAAAAATAACCCCAAACAAATTTTTAGAATCAAGTTTCTCCCAAATATTACACAAAGAAAACAATTGTTTATTATATAACAACAATAACTATGGTTGTCTTAAATGTACAATGTTTTTTTGTTTTTTTTTACTGTAAAATAGGCCTGTAATGCACAAAATCCGGCAAATAAAGCATTAAGAAATACTGAGTAACGGTAATCTAATATTCTTTCGGCTGCTCGGCTTTTCTTCCTCCGCCTGCGTTTCCTGTGGCGGTGCCGGGAGCTTTGGAGCTGCCTCTCCGGGACTCTGGGAGGTCAGGCGCGGTTCAGTTTGCCGGAGTGACAGACTGTTTGGACTTCCTAACATTGTGCCTGACTAAAAGTTTGGTTTCATAACACTGCAGGGCCTTATTCGGGGGCAGTGAGCCCCTGGAAGAGGCCCGAGTTCCTCCTCAGGCAGTCTGATGTGGATCGGATCCGGTTGGAATAAATGCAGAGAGGAGCTGTTTACAAATATGAAGGATGAGCGTCATGACAACAAGGATGTAACAGTGCAGGGATACTGAGAGGACTCGGAGCCACGTGACAGCCCCGCAGACAGGTATGCTGTTCCGGCGTTTCACCTGCAGGTTGCAGCATTGTCCCTGAAAACAGGAGCGAGTCTCACCTGTCACCTGTCAGACCTTCTCCGTGCGCACTGAGAACAGACCTCAGTCCGGGCTGCCTCTGGGTTAAAGCCACAACATGTGTGTGCATCGTGATCAGTGGGGGCATGTGAGGCCTTGCTCGGTGTAAAGCCACTGCAAGGGTCTTATCAAAACACGGTCAACTGTTCAGATGACTGCAGCGGCTGTTTAGTTTGGAAATGTGCAGATTCGTTTAGATAATCCACCTGCATCACCAGTGCATCAAGAGTTCGTGTCCAAAACTACAACATCACGTTTGAAAAGCTCACTTGAATTATGGGATTTATTATGTTTTACGTCTGGAGGATTTTGATAATCTTTAATGAAAGTAATAAACTCGCTTTCCAATAATAATCAAAAATGTGTTGTAATGCTGTGGCACTGGTAGGTTGAGAAACAGTTTACAATCTTATAATATAAAATATCATCTAAATTTTGTGCCATTATTCTTTTATTTTGTGATTGCATTTAGTAAAAAATATATCTCATAATTTAACAGGCGTAGGGTTGAAGAAAACTCTCAGACTGAAAGCTTTTTATTGATGCTACAAATACAAAACAGTGCACACTAAACACATTCACAAGGATTATTGGAACCGAGGAAATTTGATATCAGAATAATCGGGAGATCATTAAGAAAACAACAGGAACACTGTTTTACCTTTAAGGAATCTGTGTGTGTGTGTGTGTGTGTGTGTGTGTGTGTGTGTGTGTGTGTGTGTGTGTGTGTGTGTGTGTGTGTGTGTGTGTGTGTGTGTGTGTGTGTGGAGTCAATATATTGCCAATAAATTACATTTGGACGAATCATTCCTTAAGAACCATAACTCTGAGATTGTACATGGACAGTGTCCGGTCACTGGACCCGCGGCTGATGAGTCGGGGGTCTGTTTCAGGACCGCGGAGAGCAACTGCAGCCTCCGGGACACGACCTGTAAACAGTGTGTGTGTGTGTGTGTGTGTGTGTGTGTGTGTGTGTGTGTGTGTGTGTGTGTGTGTGTGTGTGTGTGTGTGTGTGTGTGTGTGTAAATCTGAACATCTGGACAACATTAATAATCAAACTGATAGTTGTGTTTTGATGATGGAACAAAAATAGTTTCATTAACACACGATGAGAGCGGTGCGGACACATTTACCATATTTATCCTTGTTGTTTATTTATATTGATTGTGTACTGATCATTATCTCTGGTTTATTATTATTATTATTGATCATAATGTAGAAATGATTGAAAGCACCAAATCATTTAAATATTTTTGTAAACCTTGTCATATTTTATATTATTTTAATAAAAACGTATAACAGTAAATGTATTAATATTAATAGTAGTGGGCTGCTCATATAAAAGAAGAGAGCAATAATAATAATAGCTGTGTTAGTGTCTTCTTCTGGACATACAACTGTTTAATTTGTGTTTGGAAGGAAACCTTTTTTTTGTGGCAGATTTTATTTGTAGAACCTGAGAGAAATTTCTTTGTATGAAATGTAAAATTATATGTGAGGAATTGAGGGCAACAGTATATTTGGTGTCTTATGAATCCGTGTGTGCACGTGTCGGTGCATGGCACAATAAATAACATCACAATATAACATAATAATTATAACAATAGTATTTTTTAATCTTTATTCTTTGATCTGCTATCCTGTTTGTTTACTGTGGTTTTTGTCTTGATTGCAATATATTAACGTACGTTTTACTAGTTTAATAAGCCCCATACAGACCAATATACACAGAATATAATAATAATAATAATAATAATAATAATAATAATAATAATGCCAGTACTATAGATATTATTAAGAGTAGCCCTGAGGCACTATGCTGGACTTTAAGTGTATTATTTTGACTTTAATTGTTATTAGGAGTTCATTATTAAGAGATGAGACCAACAGTTCCCTCCTTCCTTTTTTGCCTTTACAGTAAAATCTGAGTGAATCTGTCCTGTTGAACAGGTGTAAGGCCCGTTCACTCCCGCCCCCACTGATCTGCACACCTGCTTCTGATCTGACAACCTTTCATGTCTGTAGTGAATAACTCAGTGAACATCAGGGTCCCATTGTTTCACGTTTTTTATTCACAAAAATACCAGGCATGCATAAATCCATCTCAGGAAAACATCGGGCATTTTCATGCGTTTCTAGTGCAGCCGCGTGATTTCTCCTTTAACCGCAGCTCAGTCAATATTTTTTATATATATATACAACAATATTTTATACAGCAGGTCATACAAAACATGAAAATATAAATAGATGAATAGTTTTATGTTTCAACGTGGCACTTGGTTGCCGTCATACAGTAGAAATGACCAATGAACCATGGATACAGGAATACAAACACACTCTCTAAACATATCTAACACACACACACACACACTCACACACACTCTCTCTCTCTCTCTCTCGCTCTCTCTCTCTCACAAACACG